GACAGGGTAACTGGTCTCTGCCGCTGCGCGGGGCCGGCGGGCACTTGGGCCGCTCCCGGGGACACGGGGCCGCCTAGGCCCTCGCCCTGCGGTGGCAGCGGTCGCGGTTTAGCGTGGCGGCCGCGGGTGGGCTCCCCAGCCCGCTCCTTCCCGGCCGGTGGGGCGCTTCTGCGTCGCCCGCTTTAGGTCTGCTTCACTGCCTGTGCCCAAAGGCGTGTGATGAGAAGAGCAGGAGGGGCGGTCAGCAGTTTGCCTCTGCCAGGTAGCGGTGTCCTGTCTTATTCGTTTAATATTTTCGCTGTTCAGGGAAGGAAACGGTTAATTTTTTTTTTTCTTCAGCCTTAACATCTGAGATATGTGTATTTGCCGATATTTACAGGTGGAGAAATATTTGTAGAAAGGGGAAGAAAAGTAGTTGAATGTGTCACTTCACAACTTATGAACAGATGTAGTGAGTTGGAAAGGACTTAAGATTTGTGCTGATCTTTCTTATGATTTCTTGGGAAAAAAAATTGCGTTGGTTGAGGAAGCTTCAGTTTTGGAACACACACTTCTGACTGTATCATGAAAACAGTGCTGTATGATTGTATTTTTTTTTTACTTCCTCCTTATGATAAATCGTTATGTAAATTTTCCATGTTATGCTGCTTGAAAGTTTCCACTGATGGTTTATTACTTTTCTGAAACAGCTCTTAGCACTGATACAGCTATTTACATGCATTTTTTATATAAGTGATCTGACCCCTGTACTCAGCACTGGTGAGGCCACACCTCGATGACTGGGTTCAGTTTTGGGCCCCTCACTCCCAAAGGGACATTGAATGACTCGAGCGTGTCCAGAGAAGGGCAACGGAGCTGGTGCAGGGTCTGGAGCACAGGTCGTACAGGGAGTGGCTGAGGGAACTGGGGGGGTTTAGTCTGGAGAAGAGGAGGCTGAGGGGAGACCTCATCGCTCACTACAGCTCCCTGAGAGGAGGGTGCAGAGAGCTGGGGATATGTCTCTAGCCAAGTAACAATAGGACAAGAGGTAATGGCCTCAAGTTGTGCCAGAGAAGGTTTAGACTAGATGTCAGGAAGTATTTCTTTACAGAACAGGTTGTTAGACGTTGGAATGAGCTGCCCAGGGAGGTCATGGAGTCCTCATCCCTGGAGGTGTTTAAGAGTCGGGTTGAATTAGCTCTTGGCAATCTGGTGTAGTTGAGAACTGTCAGTGTTAAGTTAATGGTTGGGCTAGATGATCTTCAAGGTCTTTTCCAACCTAGCTGATTCTGTGATTCTGTAATATTTGTGTAGTCACTAGAATGCACAGAAATTTTTTTATGTGGATCTACCGTAGGTGTTATTTTAGACAATTTTCTAATATATGAGAAGTTGTTGAGAAACTATGTTCTTTTATTCACCAGCTGTTTGGAAAGAAATGAAACAAGATATTTTTTCTTAGTGTCTGTTGCAATGTACTGCATCAGATAGGCAAGCAGGGTGACTGAGTTGTGTATTTATTGAGGTGTATGAGAATAATTGCTAGTTCTGCTCTGCAATATGTTGACAAAGTTAAGTGGTATCACCTGTGAAGCCAGTTGTGTTTTCCCCATTAAACTCTGAATGAACTTATTTTTCTATCCTGATCAAAAGCAGGAGATGAAGAGATATGTCTGAGCAAATCCTTTTGGCAGTGATGTGAACTACGTAGCCACGTGCTGTCATTCTTCCTGTCTAGGACTATTCACTTAGTTCCAGAACTAGCTCTTCCTTTTTCTTTTTCTTGTTTTTTTTTTTTTTTTCCTCTCCAGAATATAGATTGACTCAAACAGGTGTTAAAAAATTCCATGAATAGATATTATTTCAGGTTGTTTATCAAACGTACTCATCCTTGTTAT